GGATTCAATGTTCTTTATTTGTCATTTGCACCTCATGTGGTACATGTGGTGGAACACAATTATGTACACAGGGTCCCATTTACATCCAAAAATAAAATGTAAAAAGAATAACAGTAATAAGATTTAAGATATGAACCAAGAAAAACATCAACTAAATATACACAAAGCACTAGTACCATAAAAACATTACGCTGAACAGCAGCACGAACATGAGTCTGTATGAGCAGATGAGCACGAATGAACACGGCAACATGAAACAGATCAGCAGCAACTTTGCAACAGATCAGCAGCAACATGATGTGATTTCTCACAGTGATTATCCTGGGTAGATATTAATGAGTCTAACAGTCTCAGGGTAGAAGCTGTTCCTCGGTCTAGTGGTTCTACACTTAATGCTCCGCAACCTACTTCCTGAGGGGAGCAGGGCAAAAAGTGTGTATGCTGGGTGAGTGAGGTCCTTCATGATGCAGGAGGCCCTCTTCCTGCATCTAGAGGTGTAGATGTCTGTGATGGTGGGGAGACTGACTCCAACAGACTTCTGTGCAGCCTTCACCACTCTCTGCAAAGCTTTTCTTTCTGCAGATTTGTGCAGTTTTTATGGCAAATTCTACCTTGGGTTTATTTCAGCTAATTTCTCATGCAAAGTTTAGTGCTGCCTCATTGTGTTTGACTTTGTTATTGAATTATCTTTGCCGCCCCTTTTTTTAATACTAAAGTTTATTTGTTTTGTTGCTAAAGTCCTCCCATCAGTATTTGGGTCCTTCTCTTCCTCAGATCTCATCACATAGGAACGAATCCCCCTTTAAGAATCTCTTTGTTTGTATTTACTATTTTCAAAAGCTAGAAGTGAAACATATAATAAAATAAACTTTTTTTAAGCTTTTATTTACTGTATTTATTTGTTTGTTTATAATAAATCTGCAACATAAACTATAGAATTGTAGAATTGTCCAAAATGTAACATTTTCCCCAGTTATTGCTCGACTTTTCAGACTATTAGAAAATGCATGTGTTTTCTAGATTTAATTTCAGCTGATTTTGTCTTAATTTTATTAAATTGGGAATGCTGTTTTAATTTTTACAGATATTTCAGGTATAATGTAAAACAACAACTGTTATAACTTGTGACATAAAGTTGAGAAATTGCTATTTTTGGTTGGATTGTTTTTAAATTTGGTACTTTTTTTTTTCTTGCTTACTGTCACATTTGTCAATTTATTTTTATTTGGTTAACTTTTCCATTATTTATGTTTATAGTTGTTGTTTAAGCTCAGTTTTTGGCACTACCCATGGTATCCTGTGTAGAAGCTGGGGTATATTGCAGCTGATTCTGGGTGAGAAACAAGGAACATCTTGGTCTGGTCAACAGTCCAGGGTTGACACAGATAAACTATGCACTCATCTGTCAGCTATTCAATATATAACCAAATTAACTAACAACGGTTCTTGCTGTGAGAAGAAACCACAGGCATCAGCATAAAACTAAAACTTGCGCACCAGAACCGTTTGCTCTGCATTGTTACCACTCCAAATTTATGGTTGCTCAGTTTGAATTGGGCCAATCTAAGATGTGCTCTGCATCTGTTACATTGCTCCAGGACAACCTTGCAAAGCTGTTTGCACTGCTGTGGTCTTGATTTTGTTCCCTTAAAATATGGCGCTCATTAAATAGTTTTGATGATTCCCCAGGAAACGCTATCATCCCATTAATAAACTCTGCGCTGCCTCTCAGCTGTGGAACAGCATGACTGAATATGGCTAAAAGTGATGATGCTGAATAAATTCTGTTTATGTGTGTATGTTTTAATACTCAAACTGCCAGCCAGGAATATGATTCAGCTCCTAAAAGCAGCGCTGCTGTTTCATAGCCGCTAAGCAGTTGAAAATAGTTCGAGCTCAACTTGTTCCTAGTTTGGTCCTAATGCCAGAAAATTCTCCTGACCCTGGAAGGAAATCAGCCAGTGGTGCTGGTGATGAACTGCTCAGTGGCAATGAATTCCTTTTCTGTTTACACCACTACAGCTGCAGCCAGCTAACCCTCCTGCATGGACTTAATAAGGCATACAGAGCTTGGTTACCTGCATCACACGTACGGTACTAGTAGACTGCTGGATAAGAAATGGTCTGCCGTCATGACTCGGGTGTTTACTCAATCCAGGACTTATTATCAACTGTGTCAGTGCTTTGGTCGGTGGACTTTTTTTTGTAAATCCTCCTAATGGAAAAAGCTTTTTGAAAGCGCACCAAGAGCAAGAAAACATCTGTTTAACATACAGACGGTATCAGTTAAACTCCACTTCAGACAAAGACGTATCATCCCTGAGCGAGGTGCAGAAGTGGAAGTGCACATTTGGTGTTGGTGGACAAATATGTTGTAATACCAAGTTCCTTCAAGGCAGAGCACAATAAAATTAATTAGAACCACCAGTATGCTCTCTATATATTTATATTTATATGGTTTAAATATTTCACTGACTGGATCAGTTTCAACACAGGAGTCTTGGCTTAAGTTCTACGAAAGGTGGAAAACTCAAATAATCTGCTACTTTGTCATGCAGACTCCACATAGATGTACAATCAATTTTAGGATCAGATTATTATGATAAGTTTACATCAGATTATTATGATAAGTTTACCCTTCTTAAGTAATAAAAAATATAAGGTTGTTCAGGTTTAGTGCACTCTCACCAGTAAAAATACATTTATGTGAGGAGTAATGCCTTGATAGGGGTGCAAGAGGCATTTACTTGCTGAGAATACTTAATGTGTTAATAGGTTAATTTGCAAGATTATTGTGACGTTTGACAACAAAAAAAGTTGCCAGATTAAAGTCTATTTAAAGTCTGCTTGAGTATTTTTTTTTAACTTCTACAGTCTCACATACAACTCCTTCCTGGACTGTTTGGGTAATGTCATGGTTCTGCTGCTTGTTTGAAAGTTGATTACATCGGCTGTTTGCAGTAACTTCATAAAGTCTTTTTTTAAAACTTCTGTGAGAACCTGCTGAGAACTACAAAACCAGACCCAACTGATGGTTGCGTCGAAGCATTTGGATCAACCCTTTTGTCTTTGTTGCACTGTGTGTCTCAAAATAAACTGGAAACAGTTCATTTAATATGTGTTGGCTCCAGATTAAAAAAATAAAATTAACTGAAATTAAACTCAGTACTAATACTAATCTAAACTGGTTTCATGTTTTTAAAGAAATATAAGTATATTTAGTCAAATTCTATAATGTTTTTCATATATACACCTTGATAATTTGCTATCTGTTTTTCACAAATCACTTAAGGCTGATCAATTTGTAGCTGTGACCAGACTGAACAGGCTTTGTGAGAACATGTGTTTTTATGTGCTTAGTTGTTCATCTTAGAAATCTAAAGAGCTTTTTTATGTCTGCACATACTTACAAAGATAACATACTATTATAGCACCCTGTGGAGAAGGGAGTGAACTTGTAAAATTCCTTCTCACTAAAATAAATAAAACATGCAGTAGTTCAACGGACTAAAACAAGAACCTCTTTCCTCCTTTACGGTACTTCCATCAAAAACTGCTGTTCCTGGATCAAACTAGCACTAAGTGTCTCATTCGTTGTACTCCTAGATGTAAATAAGTAGCACCTGGGGAGGATTTGGGAGCAATGAAGCGCTCATTTAATACAAAATTGAGAAAACCACATCCTCTGTTTCTCCCTATTTAGCATTTGGTTCTCTATCCCCCAGACTGGAGAGTGTGGAAACATAGAACATAAATGAGAAGATTTTTGGTTTGAGTTATTAATAACAGGACCTGCTTGTTGCTTCCTCTAAACCCAGATGTGCAAATCTCCTGTCAAACTGAATTTAATCGCTCTTTGGGCATGTATTGCCAGCCTTTGACTTAATTTGCAGATTTAGCTAAGTTCCCATGAAAATCATAGCATCAGGTCCCAGTTTCTGTAAAACCTTCCAGTATATTCAAGGATGCAATATGGCAGCTTGAAAGCTCCCTATTTGTTTTCAGAGTTTGTCTTCTGTGGCCAGTTAATGGTTACACAACAATCAGTCTGCACACTGTGGAGATAAACTTACAAAACGAGCTTTTGTCTATTTGCCCTCCACAACGACTGCTTTTTCAAGTTACTGTGGTTATAAAAAAGACAACAGTAATTTTGGGAGACAAAGTGGGATTATGGGCTAACGACTCATGTTCCAGGGAAATTTCATCGCTATCCCAAAGCCTAATGGGAAAGCTTAGTGCAGCTCTGGCACACCAGATAGTTTAAGACCAAGGCCCTGAGATGTGACAGTTTTAGTTGTCCTTAAAGATGAGCAGAAAGAGAAATATTTTTCAATTCTTGGCAACTACAGAACAATTACTTTTCTGCAAGAAAGTCTTGTTTCTTCTGTTTTGTTCGTAATTACAGTACACATTTGTGTTTTGATAGAAAAACACAATGCATACTAAATCATGCACAAATGCATGACCTTTTGCACTTGAGTTTGTTGTTTCTCCAAGCATTCCTTTCATTTCAACACTCCCACTTGTTTTTAGTGACTACCTATGACAACTTGTGCCATTTGTGATTGAAGACCACCTATTAAACCCTACATGGCGGTACTGTTTTGACACATTCGCCATGGCAACAAAATGAAAAAAAAAAAAAGACTGCACTGCCACAGTTTGATAAACCAAGATACATTTGAAGAAGTCACCCTTTCTGTTACAATAACAGGCACTCCTTTCATGGGACAAGTCCTGTTCTGTTTAACCACAGGGATGAGAGACATCTGGGAATTTTACTCTTTCCTCTATCTCCATCTTTTTCCTGATCCCTACAAATCGTTCACTCATCACTCTCCTCATTAGTTGAACTAGACATTAGGTTTTAGATTAGTTTAGGTCAACTAGATTAGGTTCTGGTTAAAGATACTTTCTGAAATAATCAGTGTTTTATATTGTCTTCTGTGACACTGCAAAGCTGCGCCATTTTTAACATGTATATATTTGTCCCACAGAGTGCCAAGTGCCTTCAGAATAACAAGGATTCTCGTATCCTATGGACCAAAGAAGACCAGTTACTGACAAGTGGCTTTGATATGGTGAGAACTTTTAAAAACAACTTGTTGGGTTTTAATTTGTCTTCAATAGCGATTCAATTCAATTCAACCTTTATTTATACAGACAAATCACATTGAGCCTCGAAGACTCTTTTACAAGTGAGACCTGTTTGGACAGACAATAAAAGTGGTGAAAGTGACAACATAGGTTTTGGGGGCAAAAAAAAAAAATGTCCAAATTAAGTGGATACACCACTGGCCCGTGTCTGAGAACATTCCCCGAGGTCTGATCCATCCTACCAGCAAATCCTAGGGTCAGCAAGTGGCCTGCGATTTTCACAAATCACATCCAGGCTGCAGCTTAGTTCGCAAAGCGATTGAGTCTGGGTGCACGAGGCACGAACCAAGCCGTCTTCTTGCCTAAAGCCTGTCTTCTCATCAAAAAAATATAAATTGCGTTGAGGGTCCAACTGCCCAAATCCATTGCAGAATTATGTTTCAGAAGATATGTTGAAGAGAGACTCTAAAACAGTTCCACAGACAGGACAGGACAGGACAGGACAGAGCAGAGCAAAGCAGAGCAGAGCAAAGCAAAGCAAAGCGGAGAGGGAAAGGAGGGGAAAAGGCATCAGCCCTTGACAAGAGCAAGTGTTGAAGTGAAGCAAATCTTAGCAATATAATAATAAAATGACTTGTCTGGTTTTCAGAACTGCTTTCCTTTGTTTATTTTCATTACAAACTTACTTTGCTGTGATGGACTGAGGACTTGAAGATTATGACTCTTCATTATTAGATTTTTCACTGACCAATATAGTTTTAAAATGTACTGTTATTTTTTTCACAAATGTTCAATTTTCCATTTTTACTTTTGCAAAGTTGCTGTTTTGGATATCCCCTCATCGGCCACTTTATTTTGTTCACCTGTTAACACATGAAGCTAATCAGCCAATCGCCTGACACATCTAGTTGTGGCAAAGATGACTTGCTGGCTGAAGTTCAAACGTACAACTCTAGAGATGTGAGTGAAAATCCCAGAAGATGAGTTTCTGAAATAATTGGATCAGTCCATCTGGCACCAACAACCATGACATGTTCAACGCCATCTAAATCCCCTTTCTTCCCCATTCTGATGCTCAGTTTGAACTCCAGCAAGTCCTCTTCATGTCTATATACCTAAAGCATTGAGTTGCTTCCCTGTGATTGGCTGATTAGCTATTTGTGTTAATAAGTATTTGAACAGATGAACTTAATAAATGGGTGATTACTCAGTGTCTTGTTTTTGTGAATGTGCAGATGTGTAGTCGTGAGGTGAGACTTTGGGACAGCAGGAAGCTGAGCTCTTCAATCAGCTCAGCGTCTCTTGGTACTTCCAGTGGGTAAGTCCTGCTTTGGTTTGTGTGCAGTTTAATCCCTGACCTTTCTGCACTTTGTCCATGTATCAGTGAGAGTTCTTGTCTGACTGCACAAAGTGTGTGTCTGTGTAATTTTACATTTCAAGCGTACAGGATATGTGTGTTATGTGTGGCAGGCATTCACACATTGTGATTGAACCGTTATGTGGACCTCCCAGAGTTCTGACTTTCTACATCCATGCTATTTCCTGGGTCAGATACACACAAACACATAGCCTTTTAACTTCTGTCTCTCCAGAGAAGAGGCTGCATGAATTTTCGTCCTTCTGTCCTTAGCTTCTGCAGAGAGACAGGAAATGGCAGTAGACACTTTGACACTTCTCCCCATAGCTGAGCGCTTGTCATTTCTCCAGTCGCTCAGTTTATTTTTCCTAACACGGACCAGAGAGCAGGAGCATGGCAGGCTTCCAGAGAGGGGAGGAATGGAAGGATGGACGAGTGGAGAAGGGGTGGGGGAGAGGAATCTTTTGTTCAGGTCCTGTTGATGCATTTTAGTGCCTTTATGAACAGGCTAGTAGGCCAAGTTTTTTCAAATTTGTGACGATCAGATTCTTCAGTATCATGCTGCGTGTCGTAATGGGTTAAGTGTAAATATTGTGACTTTTTACTGTGAAAATAAAAACCAGTACTGAAGCTTCTCAGAGCACTCTTGTATTTAAATGTCTTGCATCTCTAAAGTAGCTCTACACACCAGACTCCAGTTCTTTCGTACTTTAAGCTGTGTGCTTATAAATTTTTGGATCAAAAAGTGCAAAGTTGTAGGTTGTAAATTCATCTAATTATTTTAGAATAGTTGTTTTAGCCTAAAACTGCAAAATAACAGCAGTATCCGACAACTGTTGTTTTTCTTAAATTTATGAGATTTTAAAGAGTTGACAAAGCAACCGTCAGCGCCTACTTTCATTTTCTCAAATTGACTGAGGAAAACTGTTGCTTTTCCGTCAGATTTTTTGCAATCATCACATTTTTGGTGCTTTTTATGGAAATCAGGGCTATATAATGCTGCACATTCCACTGTGACTTCTTATTTGAAAAATTGTTCTTGGTAAGATTCATACCATATGTCTGAAAAAAAATCCTTTGGGTTGTTCAGTAAAGCCACAGAGGAAAGTGTTAATTGTCTTAATTTTACTGGAGAGCTTGCTTGTGGTGTCACTGCTTGGAGGCAAAGGAAAGTTGACATTTACTAAAAGTGTGTAGCTGCCCATTTCTGTTTGAGTGACAATGGTACAACAATAATCTGAGACTTTCTGATCATCTGAAGTCAAGCTGAGTCTCAATTTATACCACCTTGTTACTCACTCACTGTATGGCATTCTGAGATTTTCCTTTTTTTATCAAGATCATTTATTAAATTATAGATTGCATGAAGTGGTTCTTCATTTAAAATATGCCCTGTGTATTTTATTACTCATTTATTTAAGACAAAGATTTTCCAGTGGATGTAATTACATGGGTGTGTGCACTCCCATCTGCTCTGCATCGGTTGTCCTGTTTTAAATCACTGCAGCCATCCCATCATGTCCTGGTTGTGTCAGAGAGTTATCACTCACAAGACCACATCAGCAGATGCCTGCACATCAGCACTGATACAAATGAAGCAAGCAACCAGATGACAGATGAGAAGTTGCACTTTGTTGCTATTCTCTACTTGCATTATGATGTGTCTGTAATAAAGATGTTTGTATCTGCACATTGTGGAGAGGCTGTTCCTTTCCTAATGTCATTAGATTTATTTTTACCACCTCCTTTTCCTTTTTTTTTTGTTTAATGTTCTGATAAATGTATCCTCAGATCTGAAGTCAAGTTGCTGTTGCTGGAAAATGTACTACCTATAATCATTCGTCACTACCAAACTCCGAACCTGTTGTGAAGAATCTGATAACAGAAATCGGCAGCCGTTTATCTTGGTATTGGCAGGGTCATACCAAAGCTTTATCTTCTGTTGCCAAAAGGCAAAGCAAGACGATTAAGTTTTTGCCCATCTTTGGCAATGGGCAATATGCATTCCTTGAATGAAATCCAGTTTTTAATTATGAAAGCTTTTTTTTAAATAACTGAAGATTAAAATATCATGTTGGGCCTACATTCTCTCTTTGGAGTCACACTGTAGATGTAAGTGTGCTATATTTTGCCTAGTCCCACTCCCACTATTGTGTGGCTGTCCTTAACTTAAAAGACAAAGAGGAGTTATATGGATGCAGTTATAGAGGATATGGAGGTTGGAGTGAGGAGATGCAGAGGACAGAGTGAGATGGAGGAAAATGACTCACTGTGGTGACCCCTGAAGAGGGAACAACCGAAAGAAGAAGAAGATGAGGCTGTCCCCAACTTCTCTTTGAACATGGTTTAGTTCCTTGTTTCTGGTGTATTTTCACAGTGGGTTTTCTGTGGATCATTTAGTTTTAAGTTCGGCCTCACGTCTCTCGTTTCAGCCATGGAAAAGACAGACTGCAAACGGAAAGAGAGACCATGCATGCCTTTTTCTTGCCCGTTCTGTGTCCTTCCAAAAAATTCACCAATGTCATTTTACATAAATCAGGAGGCCATTTCCTCCCTGTCATTTTAGGCCTTGAGGTGCATTTAAAGATGGATCTTTTTTCTTTTTTTCCTGTTTATAATTAAATGGGCTGTGGTAAACATGTTGTGTAATTGGAGCAGCGAGCTGGCTTGTTTTAGGCTAGCAGCACTTGTCCACAACATTCAGTAGGATTGTTTTCTTTGGAGTGTCACAACACAAAGAGGCCTGGTATCACGAGCCAGTAAGACGGGGCTGTGGGTGGAATATAATGTGGAGGGATAATAATGGAGGGGAAATGTTTACTTTTGGGGTTTAAAAAGAGACCAAATAAGTGAGGGATGGAGGGTGGACGATTCTAAGAGGGGTGTTTTGAACGATGGAAAGGTTAGCATTACTGCAGGCCCTTTTTCCATACAAGTTGCATGTCTGCTCATTTGAGAAGAGAGTGGAACTTTGCGTTTCTCTCATACTCTCCCCTCTATAAACCAGAATTATAATAATGAGTTTAATTAGGCCTCTAAGCCTGTTGTAACCAGTAAACTTTACAACTGGGCATGATTGCAAACAGCTTGCTGTGTAAATGCCTAAAATGTCCTGATGGCTATCCATGCAGCATCGCATTTTAGCAGCTAAACTCATTCACAGTTCTAACTCTGGAGGATGTGTGCCTGTGTACTGGCTCGTAATTACATCTTAAAGCTGACAATCAGGTCTCCAGGGGTCACGTGGTTAAAATTCAGCATGACAAAACGGTAACCTCAAAATGGAAATTTCTGGTTTTGACCCTTTTAATTGTCACCAGCCACTAATGCTCCTCTGTTAAGTGTCTATACAAGTAAGAGCTGGTACCCATAAACACACACATGCATCTTCTCTAGCTCATCATCATAACAAACCTTGACTTGTCTTTTTGCTAGTGAGAGGCTGATTAAAACAGATCACTGTGACCTGACGAGTTTCCAGCCTGTTGATTGGAGAGGACAGACGATGGTCCCAGGAGAGCCGGCCTCTCTGTTTGCTCAACCCAATCACAGGTTACACAAAGAACGTGCCCTCTGAGGCAAACACCGCTGACAGACCGAGCTGTTGGACGATGGAGAGAAGCTTTGAGGTGAATGGAAGGGAGAGGCCCAGGTGCGATGCTCAATCTCGCACTCCTCATTGACTTACCTCAATCTTTTTTTTTTTTTTTTGGTTTGTTTTTGTACGTTGGGTCGTGCCTGAGAGTAAGATCCAGTTAGTGGGTGTAATTGAGCCAAGCTCTCTTTAATCAGATGAATCAAGAAAAGACCCAGACTTTTACACAACAGTCTCCCTCTTTCTCCCACCCTGGCCCAGTTTCTTTAAAATCAGTCCCAGATGAAGGCTTTCCTGTGGGGATTAGGTGCAGCTGCAGCACTGCTAACCATACCAGAAACCCCCCGCCCTCCCCACAAAAAAAAAAAGAAAAGTACCACTCAGGATTTGAAATATAGTCGAGCTTGTTTTTTTAATCTGACTTTCTAAGGAAAGAATAAAGCTTTGTTGTCGGGGTGAATGCTTACGATGTCGGAGCAGGAGAAACTCCAAATCTCAGGTGATCCTCAGGGGTCAAGTCGATAGTTCAACCCTGCACCCCCTCTCCATGACAACTGTGGGGGATGGGGTTTGGCAAAGATGTGACCGCACACGCTCCGTCAGCGAACCTGAACTCAGTGTTCTGACTGTTGAAACGTGGTGTCTGGAATCTGTTAGTCATTTGGGGTTTGATTCAGTGTAGAGGGACTTTGACCAGGAAAGGAGGATGAAAAGAGGTGGGAGGCAGCTTTGAATTCCCCTTGTATAATTTTGAGATGGAGATAACATCTCCCTGTGAGCTTTGATTGGCTTTTTATAAAATATATTATGTTGATTCCACACTTATTTAGTGCTTAAAGAAGTTCTGATTTTGTTTTAACGCATGGTCCAGAAGACTAAATGATTTATTATCTCCTTTTATCATTTTAAGATTACATAATATCCTCAACTTACACCTTCTGTCAGTTCCTATTATCTTTTTTTTTATATAATCTTGTCTGTTTCCCACTTTTCTTTTGTCCCGGCATAGATGAAATTAAAGCAGTGAGCGTGTTTTTTTTTAAAGGTGCTGGGGTCTGCAATACAAATTAAGTGTTTTTCTTTCTTTTTTTTTTTCTCAAAGAAAAACTTAGTGGAACTGTGCTGAACTGTTAAAAAGCACATGGAAGCAAGTGGAGCGTTTGGCAGCAGATCTTTAATATAATTCACAGAGGGTTTTGATTTTATCCCGCAGGTATGTGCTCAGCACTCCAGGGATCAGAAGAACCCTTTTTGTGTGAACTCACCACTGACAGAAAAATATAAAGTCCTTCCCCCTCTCGTCTTCCACCCACCTTTCATTTTCTTTACTTTTTTCTCATGTTTGGATTATAACTTTGTGCCGAGA